AAATGCTCAAGGAAAACACAGAACTCGAGGAACTTCATAACAACTTAAAATACAAAAACAAGAAAATGCTCAAGGAAAACACAGAACTCGAGGAAATTAATAAGAATTTAAAGTGCAAAAACAACGAAATGCTTAGGAAAAACACTGAGCTTAAGAAACTTAATCAGAACCTAAAATACAAAAACAATGAAATGCCCAGGAAAAACACAGAGCTCGAGAAACTTAATTACAACTTAAAATGCAGAAACAATGAAATGCTGAAAAAGAACACAGAGCTCGAGACACTTAATAAGAACTTAAAATGCAGAAACAAGGAAATGCTCAGGAAAAACACAGAGCTCGAGAAACTTAATAACAACTTAAAATGCAGAAACAATGAAATGCTGAAAAAGAACACAGAGCTCGAGACACTTAATAAGAACTTAAAATGCAAAAAAAATGAAATGCTCAGGAAAAACAGAACTTAATAACAACTTGATGTCCAAAGACAATGAAATGCAGGTGCAAGAGCAAGAACTGGAGAAAGCACGTAATGACCTGCACTTTACGCTTGAGGAAATCCAGAGCAGAAATCGACAAAGTATAACACCGGAATACAGATATTTACGCTAATACAGGAGGCAAAATCTAAAGATCTGAAAGAAAAGAGTGAAGAAGAACAAGCAAAATTACAAGAACAAGAGGAAAAATGCAAGAAACTTGAGGAGGAAAATGCAGTGACAATAGAAGAACTGAAAACCCCCATCCTGCAGAAAAAAGAGCTCCAGGAACAGTGCCTGAAAAAGAAGGAAAAACACTTCCGCTTTTTCAGGAGGAGGAGGGGCCCGTCTGCTTCCTCACTTGATTACATGAAGGCATAGCCTCCTCTTCATCCACCTCTTTTCTACCTCCCTTCTCTCCCTTTCTCCTCTACCAACTCTCCATCACTCCCTGTTTTTTCTTTCTCCCCTCTCCTCTTCATCCTTTTTCTTTTCTTTTCTTTTTCCCCCCCTACCCCCCAACTAGTCATGGCAGATGACCCTCACTGAGCCTGGTTCTGCAATAGGTTTCTTCCTTTTAAAAGGAAGTTTTTCCTAACCACAGTCGCCTAGTGCATGCTCAGAGGGGATTGTTGGGGTTTTCTCTCCTCTGTCTCTTTCCTCCTTTATATCCCTTTATTTTCATCTCTTCTCCCTTTCTCTCCTACCACCTCTCCATTTTTTTCTTTCTCCCCTGCCTTCTTCATCCTTTTTCTTTTCTTTTTTCACCCTGTGGAGGTAAGCATCGACGACACAGAGCTCTCAGTTCTCACTCCTTCTTTATTCGTCTCCAACATCAACTGCACATATCGCGCCACAAAACACAGGAACACACTTCCTCAACACTGGGTGTGAGTGGAGCCCTCTAGTGGTCCACCACAACCCTCACTTAACTTTTCTTAACTAACAATAAAGGAAAAATTGGACGGTGGGACGGTCCATACCAAGTGCTTCTGACCACTCCAACTGCCTGCAAAATAGCGGAGAGTCCCTCCTGGATACATCAGAACCACTGCAAAAAAGTTGAGGTCCCCGAGGATTCCACTTCCTTCACAGAAATCAGCTAGTAAAGGAAAGTCTCACCCTCACTTGGTTGCTTCAGTGGTGAGGGGGAAGTGCTGATTGGGCGCCCGTAGGGAATTGCTCGCACTTCAACCTCCAGCCGCTGATCAACTCTAGGGCAGCCAAGTGACACGGTGTGACATACCTGTGTGCAACCATGGGAAGGTGGACCCTCTTGGTTACCTTGACTACGACGCTCACCCTTACAGGACCCCAGCTGACGCCAACAACAGCCGAACCACGAGGCAGACAGAAAAGATGGACGCACGACAACTCCCACCTAAGAGACATGACGCAAGACCACATACACCCTTGGATGAACAATGCCTGGTACTGTTATATCCACGACAGGACCAAGGCGGAATCGGCAGATACAGACTGTTATGTCTGTTCTCATATGCCCAGCACATCGACACGCCCCACACTATATGGTGAATATGAACAACACTCAAGCAAAGTGTGCAGCCAGTTTCGCTGGCATTGGATTCCAACACAGCCGAATCATCACCAACAACACAATCCCACACGCTGTTGGACTTAGTAATGGAACATGTGATCGATTCTTCTGGATCGATTTCAGCGTGACAAACTGGAATACATCCATCCACTTCCCAGTGTTTCTGGGCCAACTCCCAGGGAAGAACCACTCCATGTGTTATCAACAAGAGAAAGGTAACACACCCGTTGGAAACATGACAAACTGTGTCCCAACTGCAGGCCACGGAGAGGGTGCCCCTGTGAATATGAGTGGACCTTCTAACGGCACGTACTGGGTGCAAGGAATGGCCTGGCTATGTGGACAATGGGCATATTTCATACTGCCCCCAGGCTGGACAGGAACATGTGCTCCTATATTCCTGTCAGACCACACTTTCAGGATGACTGCAGTAAACACCACTTCTACAGCACGCCGGAAAAGAAGATCAACGTTCCCTAAACTTCAACCACATGACCCGATATGGGGAAGCAACATACCCAAGGAATTCAAACTGTGGACTACCGGACGGAAAGTAATCCACACATTGTTCCCCTGGGTGGGAACCGGAAAAAACATGCTGAGGATCGAAACTCTGGACTACCGCTTTGGACTCTTCTTGAACGCTTCGTGCAAGATCAACAATCTGTCATGGTCTGGGTGAGCAGCTGGGATTTTCCATCAGTGCCAGAGCACCCTTGGCTCCGCCCGTGGGCAGGACTTCCTCAGCTTCACGCATCTGGAGCTAA